CCTTCCACCAGGCTCCTTTTCTCGCCACCCGTTAAAGGTCTTCCACGTGTATTTTCTTTTCTTTTTTTTCACATCTAAGTGTTACTAGTTCACTGGAACTGCCCACCACATACATTTATGTTCCATACTACATTGTTCTCCTTCCCCGCAAGCTGCAGCTCAGATTCCCGGCTGCGCTTTGTCTGTCCTATATTGATAAACGAGGTCTTATCTGTCTGACCGCTGTGATTCTCGCGACATTAATTTTCCCCCCATTGTGGCTTCACTGGCCATTTTCTGCTGTCCTCAGGTCTCTCCTCGGACTGCTTTTATCGTCGCTGTGTCTGGAAACCATTAACGGGATGTTTCCCCTTTCGTTCAGAATTTTGACATCCTTTGTGGGAAGAAGTGAGGCGCCCCCTGAGCTCCATGTGTTTTTTTTTTTTTTTTTTTTTTTTTAATGTGAGATCCAACAATGAGTGATTTGTCCGGAACAGTCTCTCCTCTTGACAGCGTTGGCTCCCGTCGCCTTGTGGAATGAAACACTTCCTTATTATGTCGAGAAGGAAACAACAGTCGGGAATTATTGTTTCATTTCTCCCTCCGAGCGCAAAATTATCAGACCATAAATTTCCTAATCAGCAAGCAGACTGTTCATTAAAAAAAAAAAAAAAACTACACGGCTCTTGAGTTGGTCAGCCAGGCTCTTAGCTTTTCCTTGAAGGCTCCTCGAGGCTTTAAAAGACTTAATCAGCTTTCCAGAACAGGACACAGGCCAAGCTGGTGCACAGAATTCCAGACTTGGATAAAAGCTGTTGTGAACACGCAGTTGATGAAGTGGATCAGCTGACTGGTACCACTTTGCAGCTCTTTGTTTGCCTCTTTGAAAGTCAATATAAAAAAAAATAAATAAAAAAAAGAAAGAAAGCACGGGAGTTGAAACGGCGCAACAGGCCCACCGAACAAAGATGACTCATGATTACATTGAACTTTGACGGATTCATTTCACTTGCACCTCTCAACAACGCTGACGCCCGTTACGCAACTCAAAAACAAGAAGTTTATCTTCTGTGCTGTGCATACAATGCGGGTTTTTTTTTTTTTTTTCCCCGTAGGCAAACATGATTCTTAATAGATGGAACTGAGTTCAATGAGTTCTCAAATCAAACGCCAGCTCTCTCCTCATGCCCGTAGCGTGATGCAAGATATTTTTGTGACTTGAAAGTCCATACCGCAGGTCAAGACGCTTCCAAAATGTCCATAAATAACTGGTTTTGCAACTCATAAATCCTGCCTTTGTTTGCCACTGGGCTCCTTTTGTTGTCATGTGAAAAAAAAAAAAAAAAAGGATTACACTCATGATGTCTGTTTCAGAGTGGGGATTAGAATTGCTTGTTGTTTGGTTCTATTATTATTTTTTTTTGAAAACTAGTCACTACAGGGTCACTTTGAGTGTCCCCTTGATGAATTTTGTGTTTTTGAACAAGATTACCGGAATAGCATTTCCATTTATGTCAGTGGGGAAAGATGATTTGAGATACAAGTGTATGAAATTCCAAACGTGCTCACGGTAAACTCGTAAATCAAGGCATTGATTGTCCAGGCGTACTGTTTATTTTTTAGTATTATTATTAATTTTTATTTTTTTTTCGGTGAAGCCCACAAGCGTCTCAGGAAACTGTTGTGGATTATGAACCGAGACCGCTTGAAGTGTGAATGCTTTCATGTCGATTATTTTTTGGGCTTGACGTCAGTGTTGCTCAAAAAGCATCGCAGCGGGCATCTTTTGACCCGCGGTAGACCGACGTCTTTTGTTGTTGTATGAAGCGTGAAGATGAAACGCGGGAAGATCAGGTGTGCAGGTTCCCGCTGGTCTTTCGTGGCGCTGCGTGCTGAGGTGCTCATCAAGCCGGGGATGATGTCAAGGGAATCATAAAAGGCGCAAAATGGCGGAAAGCCTTTTGAATGTTTGAGGATGTGGTGAATGCCGCGATTGACCTTCAACGTGCGGCAAAGATCAGAGACCACCTCTGGTTTGTCACGTTTGACCTGCTGTTGATATCTCACAATCATGTTGACGTGTCACATTTCAAAAAAAAACAGCAAAGCAGAGGAAATGTTTCCTGTGAAAGCGCTGGCATATTTTTCTTTATCTCCTAGATTTTAATCTCTTTAAATGCAAAAAAAAAAATGCAAGGTGTGTTGGGTTTTTTTTTTATTTTTTTTTTTTAGATTTTAGCCTGTGTCATTTAAAAAAAAAACGGTAAAAAAACCAAAACAATCGACAAACAAGAAAAGCTTTATTCTTAAGAAATATACCACAATCCAAAAACAAGTTCCTTAGGTTCATTAAAAACTCAAAAATTGTCCTTGGGTGCGAATGTGATTGTGATTAAATATTTGTCTACATGTGCCCTGCGAAACGGTGGTTAACTGGTTAACACGTCGGCCTCACTGTGCAGAAGTTGCAGGGTTCGATTCCGGCTCCAGCCTCCCTGTGTGGAGTTTGCATGTTCTCCCCGGACCTGCGTGGGTTTTCTCCGGGTATTCAGGTTTCCTCCATCATGCCAAAAACATGCATGGCGGGATTATTGGGCACTCCATATTATCCATGGTGTGACTATAAGATCAAATAGTTTAATAAGCGGATTAGAAATTGGATGGATGGATAGATGTGCCCTGCGATTGGCCTCTTCAGGGTGTCTCACGTCACCTCTTGTCCAAAATTGGCAGAGAAAGGCCCCAGTTCACACTGAACCCTAACAATAAATAAGCAGTTGAGAAAAAGATGGATTAATACATTTTTGTGAATCAAGGAGATGGGGCAATAAAACAGGCCAAAATTCAGATTTCAGGGTATGAGGCAGGACAAGAGACTACTTGCAGACTCGCTGTGCTTTCACCAAACGTGAGCATGCAGAAATAAGTTTGAAGTCAAGATTCTGCAGATTTTGCGAATAATGCCGTATGTGGCTTTGTTTTTCACTCCTCTTGATGCTATTCCTTTTTTTTTGTGCGCAGAGTTCAAGTTCAAAGTTGGAACACATTCCAATTCAGAAGTTATTACATTTGTGTGGCTGGGTTGCCTTACTGGTTTCGGGGCAGGTATTGTGGAATAAAATATTTCCTTGACTGTGCCATATTACTAAAAATAGATCCGCACAAGTCTCGTCTACTCTCCATTGAGATGAAATTATGATGAGCATTTTTTTATGCTATCTAAATATTATGCATTTACTCTATGGTATATTATTCTTAACAATCAGAGGTTACTCAGCGGGCGACATTTTAGTTGACCGTGCATTTCTCGTTTTTGTGGTTGGATGTGATTTTTTTTTTTTTTTGTGACGTGTTTCCCTTCACTGAGAGTTAAGAATAGGATTAAAAATAGGTCCAGAAAATATAAAAAAAAACATATCATCATAACATATAATACGTTCCACATTGGCCAAGTGTTGCTTTGGCGGGTGTCAAGTGGCTTTTGTGGCTGTCGTCAGCGTTCTGATCTCACTCGCTTGCAAAGTCGCTGGCCTTTCTCTTTTGTTGTGTCGCTGCATCTGTTTGTGTGCATCCGTGTGTGCGTGTGTGTGTGTGTGTGTGTGTGTGTGTGTGTGTGTGTGTGTCACTAAGCAGCGAGCTGCATGTCACAACGAGGTCAAGGGTGTGGGCACACACAAGCGCATGCCCACACACAATGTGCACTTGTATAATTAACGCTATTTTTTGCAGATTCTCATGCGGCTTCTTTTACACTATAATCATCTGAGTTTTGCGGGGGAGGGGGGTTGTTTTTTTAAAGAAAAAAATATAATTTTATTGCAATAAAATAAACATTGTAAAAAAAAAAAAATTAAAAAAAATAGATATAGAAGCCCTGAAAATGAATTAAAAATGCAATTGAAATATTTGCATGAATCATTGAAGGCAGCGTTTGAAATACATTTTTAAGTGTTTCTTAAAAATGTATGATTATTATTATTATTATTATTATTATTAATTTTGTTAACGATTACAAAAAATAATTAGCCGTGAGAAGGGATCCAAGTTCTTTTCTCCACTTTTGGAGGGGAAGTCAGTCCAGACCAAAGTAAACTTTCCACTTCCATGTGGAAAAATCTTTTTTTTTTTGTGGCTCATCTTGTGATACAGCACAATGTGACACTGGGAGGCTTGAAGAGCCTGAGAAGATGAAGACCTCTTGAAGTGAATGTGCTAAATCTCCGGGTGATTCCTCAGCTCCCTCGCCAACTCACTTGTGATTGATCCATTTTAATAGTTGACTACTGTGGAGTTACATTACACACATTGTGTATTGAACCAAACTGCATTAACCTTCTCTCACACAAGTCCGCTATCTTCATGCTAACACGCAATGCGAAACACCATGGAAGGGTTCATGAAACTAACGTCGATGTTGCAGTGATAGTCAACACAAGCAGAAACAGCACGTGGAGTCACGGCGTACAACAGTACTACAACACTAGGCATATATTCTTTATCCTCTGCTTAATACAGTACGTCTGATATCGCAGCTTAGTCATGCCACTCTACTGTTTTGTCATCAAATTGCCGCGTAGTTTGAATGTACGTATTATCCTGCCCTCTGGTGGTCAAGAAGCACACACCAAAAGGAACGTTCGGTTTCTTATAAAGTACATGACTGTCGAGTGCCATTTTTTGTACTAAAAACACGTTGCAAAGATTTTTGTCGGCGTTTGGGCACTGGAACCGACGAGTGGCATTTCCGTTCTTGTCAGCGGCGAAAGATGATTCGAGGTGTCCTGCGTTCCGATCGTGGTCATGAATCCACATTATAAGTCAAGGCACGGCTGTACTTCGAGCGCGAAGGCGTTCTTGTGCTTTGCTCTAATTTGCACCCAACTGAAAACTGACAGTCAGGAAACCACATCAACACCTGCGCTGTGTCAAAGTCACGGAAAATCGGCGTCACTTCCCGTTTCTGATGCACGCTTCAACAGGGTGATCATTTTTGTCTCTAAACGTCCCCGCTTCCCTTGCAGGGGAGGACTGAGGACGCCCGAGGCATGAGAGGCTGGAGCTGAGGCACACTTGACCCCTTCCCCTTCCTCCTCCTCTTCCTCATTTCCCACCCCTGTGTTCCACTTAGTTCAGCACCACCCTCGACTCCCTGTCCCACTTCCTCTGTGCTCCTATCTGCCTGCCCCCCCAACACTCACCACCACCACCACCCCTTGCAGCCCACCCTGATGTCCATCCATCAGCCAAGCCCGATGTACTCCCCCGAGCAGGAGAACATCTGCACCACTTCCATCAAAGTGCCAGTCAAGTATGGAGAGCTCATTGTGCTCGGGTAAGCAGCTCCCGATCACACGACAGTTCAATTCGGTTTCTCCAGATTGCCAGGGGTTCACAATTTGTATTTTGGAGGCGTGCTTTGCAATTGGGAAAGCCTTCTAGAACATCAGAACCCTTTGGGGCGAAATCACAGGCGTTTTAAATGGTGGCCGGTGCGAGCTGACCTCCATTTTATGAGTTTGAATGTGATTGGGTAATTGTAAATACTTGCCCAACCTCTTTTCTTTCTTTCTTTTTGTTTTTTAATATTTCTTCTCTTCATTTTTTTTGTTTGGACAGGTTATGTCAGATTAGGTCACATTATTGGTGTCAAAAATTTTGAATTGCACACAAACGAAACACAAATGAATTAAGGCGTCTGAAAAGATGAACATGCTCACTGTAACTTATCAAGTAAATGTATGGGAATAAAATCGTAATGTTTTTTTTTTTTAATTCATTTGTTAAAATAGGATTTTTCCTGAACAGTGAGTTTAACATCATTAAAAACAACTTTGGTGTAAAGACTACAGTTTTTTTTCTTAAAAATCTGATTATAACACTACAACTGGAAAACATGAATTTGTGATCAGTATTTTATGACTTTTTTTTTTAATAGATAACCTTTCAATTCCCATAGCATTTCAGGGGTCTACGTGGTATTTATGATGTTAAATTGGCAATGACATTAGGGAGTCCTTGGAAAACGCTCTTAAGGAGCCAAAAAAAAAAAAGATTGAGGGAAGAAAAACAATCAATAAAATTTGGATTTTCATCATTTTTATTTGAAAGCCCTATCAAGCAACCCTGGGTTAATTTATTATTTTTACACTGCTAGAACGGTTCAGATCATAGGCTAATATTCGGGTTCGAAGACACATTATGCACTCCCCGTATACCCAAATGTTCACTCGTAACCATGCAACGAAACGTGGTCCAAAGTGGCAAAAACGCAGCCGTCGTCATGAGCAACCGTGTGTTTCAACATTGCGCAGGAAGTCAGCACAGATGGAACAAGTCCTTCAGGAGCCTCCGAGTGACTCCGCCCCAGACGATGGCGTGTCAGGAAGCATCCTCGTTTTTTTTTTTTTTTTGGTTGTTCGTCCGAAAACACGTCCGGCGGGGTCGAAAAACGAGGTCGGGAAAGTTTCTGACTGAGTAGCAACGTCTCAGTGTTTGGGAAGCGCATCGCTATGGCGACAGGGCAGGGCCGCTCGCCCGGGGGACGGCGCTGAGCTTTGTAGGCGGTTCGAGCTCGCGTTCCCGTGGGTAGCAGCGGCGCTAGCAAACAGAATCAAAACAATGGCTGTGAGTTCAAGGGTTAAGAATGTCTCCCTCCGTATGGAGTGCCGCCACAAGCAACGTGTATACTTTAAACGGCATAGGTGGAGGCTGTAAAGGAGTGTTTTATGGTAAGTTATTCAACTTTTCCATCGCGCTGTGCCTACAAAACTCATATTTTTTTGGCAGTGAAGCGTCAACCATCTTGACGCCCATCAGATGGACTCTTCAAACCAAAATGGGAGACTTGTTTTCCGCCATAACATCTTAAGACTTTTGGTGGGCCTACTCATCATAGAATATTGATTTTTTTAAAAAAAAATATTTTGTTGGAATATTTACAGATTATCAAAATTATTAATCGATCAACCAGGTAGAAATTCACGCTGTTTCATACACAACAATGCCGACACATTCTACAGTAAGAAACAAGTGCAAGGCAGGTATTCTTTTTTTTTTTTTTGCATTTGTATCTGTGACTTTGACTGTCTGTGGTTTTAAAAGGTGTGGCCCGGTGAGTGACACGTACGAATGAGAGTTGAGATGGCTGCATTTAGGTTCGTTTAGCGACTGGCTCACCGGCGCTTCCCACATACCGTAGCGACGTCATACGTATTAAAGGGTCGGTACATCGTAACCGTATGGCAAAATTGATTCTGATCCGAGTCTAGATGCAATTACGATGCTAATACCGAGTCACGCATACAGAGCGCATCGCGGTCCAGAGAGGCCATGCTTGTTTATTAAGACACGCGTGTCGAGACTTCACTCCTTGATGTGTTTAATGTGGTTCTCCTTTTCAACTCGAACTCATGTGCGTACTTGTTTTATCTACCTGCGAGGAGCAGACGGGTGGAGTTGACTTTTTTTTTCTCCACCGTTTCATTACTTTCCAGTAGGAGTATATTGACAACGGTCCATTTGGCAAAGAAATAGACTGAAGTCCAATGTGAATAATTACAATACGCGACTCACAAGGAGGTACGGATAATTGGACTTTTAAGGTAAAATGAGATTGGAGCGTCATCAGCAGGTTGCAACAGAGATGGAGAAACTGGAAGGGTCACAGAAAGGCACGGCCGCGGACATTCTAGAAAATGTTATTGGCTCAAAGAGCTGTGGTGAATTTTGAGGAAATATCTATTTGAACATTATCTGGAAAGAATAATGCAATGCAGTGGTACCTTGCCTTACAAGTGTTACAAGGGTTATTAAATTAATCAACTAAATTCATATTTAATATAATAGTAAATATAAATAATTGATACAAGCTCTGCTCGAGAAAACTTTTTTTTTTCAATGCTTGCATATTTTCCGGAATTTTTTCTGGTCGGATTTGAGGTCCCACGGTCTTTCATTCTGATGTTTTTGGGGATTTTTTTTTTCTTCTTTGGTCACATGCAACGCTACGACTCTGCTGACCCTTTTAAAACCGTCGGCCCTGACCTAGAACCAAAAAAAGCAGTCGTAGAAAAAAAAAAAAAAACAGCAAAGCAAAGTGGAAAAGCCTTGAGAGGTTAAAGGAGGAGAGCCAGCCGCCTTTTACTGCTTTTTCCACCGAGGAAAATTTCCACGCTAATCTGCGTGACAACACCGGTTTTCGAGCAGCAAAGTTCGAGTCGGCTGTGAAATCAACCGACCCGGCAACGTGGGTACATGTGTGTTGTTAAATAACACACGTGGTGTCATGTCAGAGGTTGCCACGCCGAGATGAGGAGCTTAGCGGACGTACGGGAAAGTGTGTCTGTGTAGCTGTTGGCGTGAAGGTGCGTCTCTGTGTTGCGTGCTCAGAAGGATGAGGAGGAGGAGGGTGTGGTGAAAGTTTTTTTTTTTCCCCTCCACTTCCAGCTGAGCATGTGGACTTAAGTCAAAACAAACCTCGGAGAAGCCGTTTAAAGGGATGATTCAGTCATTTGAGCGCACACGCTTCAAAAGCGCCACTCGCTGTGCTTTTTTTATTTATTTTTCCCTCCCGAGTGTGTGGTTTTCTGTTAAGAAGATGTAAAAAAAAATAAATAAAAATACCCCCCCACCAAAAAAAAAAAAAAAGCCGTGCTTTCACATAGGCACACCTAAATGTGGCTCAAGGGACACAGTGGGTGACTTGTTATGGGGAAAGTCCGCAGCTTGAGTTCTTCCACTGAGCGTTTCTTTCGCTAAATAGCAACCCACTAACCCACTATTTATTATTCATCGAGCACAACTACCGCTTTTTAAAACATAATTTTAATACATATTAAATCAACAGTAAGCTCACCGAAGCGCAATACGAGAACTGCACACACACGATAATGCACCGCCAGCCGTTAAGTGACCGCAACAATGTCCGATTTTCTGTCGACCCATCAACAGACGGCGCCGTTTTTTTACCTCCGCCCTCCTCAAGCTTGCCACAGACACTGGACTCAAAACAAGAGATCCTGGACTAAAAAATGGGACACTTGAGATATTTTGGAACCACTTTTAAGGCTTTTTGGGATTTGTTGTGAGCCCCGCCCCCCCTCTCTCCCACTCATCATAGCATGTATTATTTATTGTTCTTTACGAGTTTTGAGAAGTTAAAGGTGCACTTTGTGATGCATTGAGTAAGGTGAGTTTAGGTGAAGTGGGTACGCACGTGCTCTCAAGGAACGGAAGCGTTTGTTTGTTCCACTTGGATTTATTATGCAGCTGTTCAGACTGTAATGTCCCATTGTGTTTTGTGTGCGTGTGTGCTTGTGTGTGTGTGCTGTGTGTGTATGCGTGCGTGCAGGTACAATGGCTCTTTACCCAACGGCGATCGAGGCCGACGCAAAAGCCGCTTTGCGCTGTGCAAACGGCCAAAGGCCAACGGAGTCAAACCCAGCACGGTTCACGTCGCCTGCTCTCCGCAGGCTGCCAAGGTGAGACAATAACACACGTATGCACACACACGGCGAACACAGTGCGTATTCTACCTTTACAAAAATACTACTGCTCACTTTTGCTTGTGGTATCTTGGGATGCAAGTCACCTGAATTTTTTTTTTTTTTACGCGCTGTCGTTCGGCCCATTTTTTTATTTTTTGCTTTGACTTGCAAGCAAAAATTTGAGTTGTGAGCGTCGTACAGTGGCATGGAACTCAACTCACTTTACAAGAAGCAGCAGTTGGGCAGGTCGTGAACGGCGAATTACGCAAGCCACCGCATACCGTAGCTTTGCCTTCGAAAAGTCTGCTTTGCATCATGCTGACACAAAAAAAAAATGCAACGCCATGTTCTGACCCTTTAAGTAACAAATACCTTGAACACAAAGGACAGAGCAAAACATGTAGACAGACAATATAAAAATACGGATGGCATATTTTCTTTATCCTCTCCGAAGAATGAAAAATATTATGTTTGAAAAAGAATCTGATTGCGATGTTTTTTTTCATGTAATTTTTTTTCAAGGTCTTCTTCTCATGTGTTTGTAACAAATACAAGCCATAAATTACAAATATTGTCACAGAACAAATTAAACTTCAATTTTAAGGGTTCGTGGTAGGTACCACAGTGTCCGATGTAACCGTGGTAACAGTTTGCCCACTTCTCTTATTTCCAATTGGAAAAGATTCCAAATCCAAATAAATGAGAAATGCAACATTGCTTTTTTTTTTTTCTCCAAGGTTTGCTCTCTTCCTAATTGTGTGCGTGTGTGTGTCCAAGACTGAGTGCAGGTTTGCTTAAAGTGAAACGATAACGTTGAAATGGAACACTAGGAAATGTTTAGAAGAGAGAAAGCAATTGTAAACGGATCATTTGGAGGAATTGCAGTTTTCCAGTGTGTGTGTGTGTGTGTGTGTGTGTGTGTGTGTGTGTGTGTGTGTGTGTGTGTGTGCGTGCGTGCGTGTGCGTGTGTGTTGACATCTGTGCCTAATATCCAGTACTTGGTGCGGACACACACATGCGCAAAAGAGGCCAGGCTTTTAGGTCATTTCACAAGTCTGGAAGGAGCGGTTTGTTTTCTTGCGGGTGGTCCCCGAAGTGTTTTGGCTTCATTGTCCAGACCGCAAAAGTGACGCTATGAACTCGCTTGACCCTCCTTTTGTCTTAACTGCCGCCGGACCCTCGCTGCCGTTTTTTTATAGGAGGGCTGTGTGTTGTCTTGCGCCCCCCTCAGGCCATCAGCAACAAAGACCAGCACAGCATCTCGTACACGCTGTCCAGAGCCCAGACGGTGGTGGTGGAGTACACACACGACAGCAATGTAGACATGTTTCAGGTACCAGACGCACACACACACACGCACACACACACACACACACACACACACACACACACACACACACACACACACAGAACGTCTTCTTCGCTGGAGTCGCGCATGCAAGTTTAATTCCAAAACGTGTTTAATATTCACAGCGATGTCAGAGGTTAAGCTGCAGGGCGGCCGACGGGAGAGCAAAGCATGAAAGGCGTACGACAGATGAGGGAGGGATGGAAGGAGAGGAAGAGTCATTCTTTTCTTTTTTTTTTTTTGTTTGAATGAATGCCGTGACGACTAACTTTCTGCGAAGTTCCGGGAAGATAATACGCCGGGCTGAAGTCGAATGGGCGTGACATGGACAAAAGTATTGGGACACGTCATTGCACCAACATGACAGGTGGAATGTGCTTCACATAATGAAAAAAAATCAACATTTCATGGCATGTACAAAATCATCCATTTTCAACACCGCTTATCCTGAAGAATTTTCGCATGGTGTTGCTGGTGCTGATCCCAGCTGACTTTGGGTAGGAGGCAGACTGCACCCGGAACTGGTCGCCAGCCAGTCACAGGGCACAGATAGAGACAAATGAGCATTCACACCCCACATCCACACCGTCACTGAGCGGGAACCGATCCCACGCTGCCCGCACAAAAGTCAGGCGAGTGTACCACGACACCCATCAGCAACAGACGAGAAATAAAAATACAACGTTCGTCAGTACACCTGGTGAGATTGTGGTCCCTTGTGCTTGTTTTCACAGGTGGGTCGTTCCACAGAGAGCCCGATCGACTTTGTGGTGACGGACACGGTGGCGGGCACCCAGAGCAACGGCGACTCCACGCAAACTGTCCAGAGCACCATCTCCCGCTTTGCCTGCCGCATCATGTGCCAGCGCGCGCCGCCTTACACCGCCCGCATCTACGCAGCCGGCTTCGACTCGTCCAAGAACATCTTCCTCGGGGTGAGGAGCCACGACACGAAGCAAAACCAAAAGCCGACAAATGACGCTGAAAATCCATTTGTTTGTTTTTATGTCAGGAGAAAGCTGCTAAGTGGAAGACGTCCGACGGGCAGATGGATGGCTTGACCACCAACGGCGTACTGGTGATGCACCCTCGCCACGGCTTCAGCCAGGACTCCAGGCCCGGCGTGTGGCGGGAGATCTCCGTGTGCGGCAACGTTTTCACGCTGCGAGAGACACGCTCGGCGCAGCAGCGGGGAAAGATGGTGAGCGGATGTCAAATAAATATGACATGGGCCATTGTAATACATGTTCATTTATTGTTTTTGTTTGTTTAAAAAAAAATACTGGAAAGAGGTTCTTGGAAAAAAAATCAATCACAGTATTGAGGGGGGGTGGATCACAGTTAGATTTTTTTTTTTTATTTATGGAACAACACCAAATAAATGACACTTTGCTCCAATCTAAAGTAGTCAGTGTGCAGTGCTGTGTCAAGTAACACTGCCCCCTAGTGTCCAAAAAAATCACATCTATAAGATTTCAAAATTTGCATAGAAATCATGTGTAATGTTGCTCCGAATAGATATTTTTCAGCAGGAATTTCTGAATTTCAGATTGAAAAATTGACGACGGTTTAATATTCTAAAGTTTCGATGTGAGCTCATTCTACCAGTTGGTAACTTTTATTGAAAGGCAGCGTGTTTTACCATTTTTATTTTTGGCCACTTGATATTGGCTGATTAAATTGGTCGGCCGATGAATCTTATTTCAAACGCAGCTAGACTAGAATATGGTTCGTTTGTGGTGTGCAGGTGGAGGCCGAGTCTCAAGAGCTGGTGGACGGCTCCCTGATCGACCTGTGCGGCGCCACGCTGCTGTGGCGCACGGCCGAGGGCCTGTCGCGCACGCCCACCCTCAAGCAACTGGAAGCCCTGCGGCAGGAGATTAACGCGGCACGCCCCCAGTGCCCCGTGGGCTTCAACACGCTGGCCTTCCCCTCCATGCGGCGCAAGGACACACCGGACGAGAAGCAGCCGTGGGTCTACCTGCGCTGCGGCCACGTGCACGGCTACCACGACTGGGGCAACCGGCACGAGGAGCGGGACGGGCGCCAGCGCGAGTGCCCCATGTGCCGCGCCAAGGGGCCCTACGTGCCCCTGTGGCTGGGCTGCGAGGCCGGTTTCTACGTGGACGCCGCGCCGCCCACACACGCCTTCGGCCCCTGCGGCCACGTCTGCTCGGAGAAAACGGCCGCCTTCTGGAGTCAGATCCCGCTGCCCCACGGCACGCACACCTTCCACGCCGCGTGCCCCTTCTGCGCCCACCAGCTGAGCGGCGAGCGCGGCTTCGTCAGACTCATCTTTCAAGGACCTCTGGACTAGAGGACGCCTGGTTTGGACGACTTTGTTTTTTGTTTTTTTGTCGTTGTCGTCTCGCTCTCATTTTTAAGGGACCTTTTTGAGTATTCCTTTTTCAAGACAAATATTTCTACATTTTCCACTGAGACAAAACTGCTGGAGAGACTTTGTGATCGTGACAACGACGACAGTATTTATCCCAAAGCAAAAGCTATGGTGCGGCTTATTGTTCTCGTATTTCAGGGTGTCCCCCAAAAAATGTGCACTCTCTAAATGGCCACTCCCCAAAATTTCAGAATTTGCCTAAAATGCACTCGAACATTTAAAGGTGAACTTAATATGACCTTGTCTAATCGATTATAAAAAAAAAAAAACATTAATTTGGTAATCCACAAACACATTCTGTGACTCTAATGCTCATATTTTATGCTTTTGTGACACCTCAAACCATAAAACAACAGAAGCAAGACTGAAATGGCTTTTCAGAGGAAAAAAATAATTTACAGCGAAACAACTAAGAAACACATTGTGAGTGACGATGACTGACCGCAATTAGTGGCTTTTTTCCAATGGCGTTCACCATTCACGTCATCTTTCCTCACGGTCCGTGGCACACTTTTCTAAAGCCTAGTGCGCTCTGTTTCTTCCATACATACACACAGTTTAAGTGTGAGACGCTTAAAATCGAAAAGCATCCAAAGCGATGCAATCGCGCCATCTGTAGGCATCTGTTGTGCATTACAAACCTGAATTTTCTGAACTCGCGTCATCTTGTGTTGTTTCGAAATAAATGAATACATTATTCCGATTTTTTAGGGGACACCCTGTACACTGTATGTCTCATTAGCTAATTTAAAACTTTTTTTATGGCCCTCAAGACATCACGTCTCTTTCCAGTCTTTCATCTTTGTACTCTGCACATTGTGTGTGTCCCGAAGGTTTTTCGAGGTCTTTCATTTTTGTGTGTCATATCCGTCAATGTTTTGTCCCGTGTTTGACTCTCCAAGCCGTTGACAAAGCAATACCTTTTTCTGAACCTCTTGAAGCATTACAGGTCGTCTGAGTGGTCCCTGCCCCCTGAACCCTTTAAATCAGCGCAGCCATGTAGCATCGCACACACACGAGCAGGACTTCAAATGTTTTTTGTGACCACTGTTATGAAACGCCAGTGTAGTTTATTGGTTGGAAAACCATGACTGTATATCCGTGAATGTACACGTTCTATCCAGAAGTTATTTTGACACCCTTACAAGTTGAAAGTGTTCCAATCAATGACCTAATAATTTCATCATGTTCCTACTTAACCCGAGGTGAGAGATTCAAATGAGTTTGTGTTTCAAATGAGAGTTTGAAGCTCCAGTCTTTCAGTTTGGGGTGTAAAGACAGTGTTTCAAATGAGCATTTAGAGCAGGGGTCCCCGGTCCGCGGACCGGTACCGGTCCGCAGGGCATTTAGTGCCTGGTCGCACAGAAAGAACTTGCCTTAATTCCGTTTTATTTCGGAATACGAAAGATGTTTTATTTTGAAAAAATACCGGATTCTCCGTTACATCCGTTTGTGTCACGCTTGACACACGTCAAGCTACGCTTCTCCGTCACGTGACCGATTACGCGGAAAAACAAAACGCCAGAGCTCGCAAAATGATGAGTAATAAAACTGCTGGAGATCGCAAATGACGGCGGCCTGAAAAGTACGTTCGAGACAACTGGATGAAAGTTATGGCTGAATATTCTAAGATCGCCACAGTAGCACTGTTGCTATTTCCGACATGCTGCCTGTGTGAGGCTGGGCTTTTCTGCAGCAACGGCGACTAAAACAAAATTACGAAGTAGACTGGACATAAAACACACACTTGAGGTGTCATTGTCTCCTATTACACCGAGATGGGACCGTCTGGTTGCAGAAAATCAAGCTCGGGGCTGTGGTGAGTCGTCATTTTCATGCACTTTGAATTTGCATTGTATCGTATTTTGAAGGCATTAAACATTACCATAGCGATCGGAGTGTTGCGGCCAGATTAGACGCTCCTTGTGTTTATTATTATATTTCGAAAACACCATAGTTTTCATGCAGCTCATACCATATTATTTTGTTGTATTATTTCCGCCACACCTTAAATGCCGGTCCCTGAAAATATTGTCTGACATAAACCGGTCCGTGGGGCAAAAAAGGTTGGGAACCCCTGCTTTATAGAACAGCGACGACGTGTAAAATGAATGAGCTTGGGGCGATTTTCGTGTCATGTTTTCTTAACAGAGTGTTCGCCGATTTGTTAACATCAGCAATAAGGGCCAGACTGTTTGAGTCAGGTTTGATTAAAGTTTCCCCAACGATTCAAGCAACTAGCGTCGGCGCGTGTTCAAATACGTCACGCTCGAGCCTGAAATCATGTCCCGAATTCGCCTGACAAAAATAGATAACTTGTGGCACGCACACGTACACAACAAACTGGTTTTCATTCCCCTTTGCCCAAATATAGAAGGGCTTCTCCCGGTCCTGTCAGTCATTCTGACACGCACGTTGTCCTCGTCCTCCTCTAAATGTGTTTTTTGTGAAGGTGAAAGAAAGCAAAAGAATGTTTTTCTAATGACTTTAAACAATAAAGTGAAAAAAATCTTTGAGGTGTGTTTTTTGGGCAAAAATAAAAGGAAAAAATCCGGGAACGTCATCATTACTACTACTGCGCATGCGCAGTGAACCTCATTCACATTAGCAACATTCGTTAATATGAGCGAAGTCACAGGAGTGCCCATTGCGTCAATACCGATCGACCGGTAGCCCGCGGACTGGTCCCAAGTCAATCGTGAGGGGTGTAAGGGGAAATTGTGTGTGGGGGATTTATGTGTCTCTGTACGTGTTATTAATATATATTTTTGTCTGAGTACATACTGCACTCTAAGCATCCTATCAGTTTCACTTTCACAAAAAAAGTATTTAAAAAAATAAAAACAAAAAAAGCAGGTCACCTTTACCATCCGTTTCTGCAAGCATTCTAATTTAAAATCCAAACAAGAGGGCTTCTAAAATACAGTTACAACCTAAACTGCAATTTACAACCCCAACCCTTTGAAACCCGAACAATGGCTTTAAACCCGACTTTGAAACCTCAACTCTGGCTTCAACCCATCATTTACAACCCTAACCTTTGTTTAAAGCAACTTGGCTTGAAACTGAAATTTTACTCCGTTGCCCTGACTCAAAACCTGTACCCTGACTTGGAACCCGAACCCAGGCTTGACATATCCTAAAACTGGTTTGAAATCTTAGTTTGAAACCCAAACCTCAGTTAAAAATACAACACATTCTTATTTAAAACCCTATCCCATTAAAGAACTTCTCACAGCCATAGTTTAGTGTATGATATTGCACTTTAATCGGACCTCAGTCATACTTCAACACTTATTGCTATCTTCTGTCTCACTCTTAGTGTGTGTGTGTGAGTGTGTGTGTGTGTGTGTGTGTGTGTGCGCGCACGCGCGCATGCTCGCATGTTTGGCATCTTGATGATTGACAACACAAAGAACGAAATAATAATGCACAATGTTGTGATATGATGACACAAACGAACAGTAGGTAAGGCTTTCAACTTCATTTCAGTCAGATGACTTAAGTCTTTGTTAATATGCTACTATAGAATCATCGTACACTATGTTATATTCACATTAGAGCTGTGAGTTTCCTTTGTCGGCCAGCAGGGGGCAGCGTCTCGTTAAAAAAAATAAACAGGTCACATAGTGAAGCCAGGCAGGCGGGTCATATGTCCATGGGGCGGCAGGGTTACATGACCGGCGTGGGCGTGGTCCGCATGACAGAGGACGTGGTCTCAATGGTCGAGGATGCGCAGGTTTCCCGACACGATCTTGTTCTCCAGCATGGAGCCTGCCGGGATGTCGATGCGATCCCCGTGGTTGGCGATGATGATCACCGTGCCCTGCCGGGATACACACACACAGACAACAGCGCATCAAATCTGTGCTTGCGTGACGCTGTGTGACAGCTCATTGCTGCAACAAGTCACTTTGTTTCCTCCTTCCTCTCAAGCAAGCTTGACTGTTGCCCAAGTGACGCTCGTGAGGCACTTTACCTTGAGCGAGACGTTCTTGCCGAAGGTCACGTCACCGGACACGGTCAGATGGTCCAGCTCCAGCATGTCAGGGATGCTCTCGAAGCGGGTCAGGTACTCCTGGACCTGAACGCGGGAAAACACATCACAGTGACAGCCATCAGCATTGACACTTGGGAGTACTGAATTTGTCTTCCAGCTAAGTTTGAAACCTAATTGGAAACTGACATTTATGTAAAGTCATAACCCAGGTTTGAAACCCTACTTTGAAACCCTAACCCCCAAACCCCACTACACCATTTGTAGCACCGTACTTTGGTGAAGGAGCTCCCCAGTTTGACGTGCGGCGTTGTGGGGAACTCCCGGCGGGGGCTCATGGTGAGCGAACCGGCGTGCAGGCTGTATAGGTTGGACATGACCAGCAGGAGGTCCGAGGTGGTCTTGACGGGCAGAAAGCGGCTGCGGGGCACGTTGATGCCCATAGCGTTGTCAAAGCACTTGATGGCTGCGCCCACCGCCGTCTCCAGCTGGATCACATTCTGACCCCCGTCCAGTGTCTGCACAACAGGAAAACGACAGGAAACCGTTACAGGCAATACATGTCCATTCACCATTCACCATTGGAGACACCATTTACCATTGGAGAACTCACCCGCTTAACGTTTTTTTCTGTCGGATCTAAACTGAAAGACGTGTTTTTGTGTTGCGTTGGGCTCTTTGTGTGACACCTTAAGAGGTTGATAGCAGGGTGAAAAAAGGTGGCAGATAATTTTGGGAGCTAAAATCAGGAGTTAACATCAAAAGCTAACATTGGCCTCCTTAGTTCTGACATTAGAGGTAACGCTGTAAAGCAGTTTCAAAAGCTAACCTTGAAGCTCACGCGTTACCTCTAATGTCTAACTGCTTTACAGCGTTGTAAAGCAGTTTCAAAAGCTAACCTTGAAGCTCACATTGGAATGCAAGCAAATATTGAAAACTCATTTCATAAACTAATATTGAAAGCTAACGCTGGAAGGTAATGTCAGCGGCAAATGTTTGTCTTCCTTGGCAGTAACGTTCTTGGTAACAGTTGAAAGCTAACTTTAGAAACCACTGATGAAAGCTAACATTAAAAGCTAACAATGGTGGTAATGTTGAAAGCTAATTTCATATATTAACATTTAAAACTAACTATGGAAACTTACCGAAAGCTAATGTTGCAATCTAATGATCTTCAACGAAGCCAACTACCAGGACGGCCATTGAAAGCTAAAAATAAAGCTAACATTGGAAGTAATGTTGGAAGCTAACTGAAACAAACATTGAAAAGAAAACATGGAAGCTAATATTAGTAGTTAAAGCTGAAGCTAGCATTGAAAGCTAGGTCAACACTGAAAGCTAACATGGGAAGCTAATGTTGAAGCTAAGTTTGAAAGCTAATGTTAGAGGTAACAATTAAGCCAACATTGTAAGCTATGATAAAAGTAATATTGAAGCTAACATACTTTAGCAATGAAGCCAATGTTAGAGGCTAACATTGGAAGGTCACAATGAAAGGGAACCCTGGAAGAACGCACTCGGCAATGAGTGCATCATGTCTCACCTTGGTGTTGACTATGATCTCCATGTCCATGGCCTCCTGCTCCTGCAGTCTCTTGATGGCAGCCAGCGAGATCCAAAGGTTGTTGGTGTTGAAGATCTTAAACTTGGACACCGACTTGAACTCGTCCACGTGGGCTT